TTTACTATGATTATTATTTGGCTGCATTGGGTCTCAGTTGTGGCATGTGGGGTCTTCGTTGTGGCATGCGGGCTCTTTGTTGTGGTGCGTGGGCTTCTCTCTAGTTGTGGCTCAGGGGCTCCAGGGTGCGTGGGCTCTGTAGTTGTGGTGTGCGGGGTCCAGAGTGTGTGGGCTCTGTAGTTTGCGGCACGTGGGCTCTCTACTTGAGGCACACAAGCTCAGTAGTTGTGGTGCGCAGCCTTATTTGCCCTGTAGCACGTGGGATCTTAGTTCCCTGACCAGGGATCACGTCTGCCTCCCCTGCATTGGAAGGTGGATTCTTTACCACTGGGCCACCAGGGAAGTCCCTGTGTGTTTTAATAATGATTATTTCTTTCTCTTTGCCATTAGTTATTTGGATTCAGAACCAGAATGCCTATTATACCAGAGGAAAAAAAATTCACAGCAGTTGGTAATGATGGACCAGGGGACAGGTGACGTGGTTGAGAAATTTTTAAGCATATCTCAAACCACATAAGGCCAAAAGCCCAGATCTAAAATTTGGCTTTAGTTTGTGAGTTAGAATACATTATTATTATTCCACGGAGGGGAAAAAAATCTCTAGTAAAAAGGAGTAGGTTTTGACCTTTCCCAGATTAGTGCAGTCTCTCCTTTAACAGGTCCAAATGAATCAAGCATTACTATGTTCAGCTCTTCAAGTGTGGCTAAGCTATTATTAAGGGTAATTCAGGAACATCAACAATTTCCTCTCAACCTTAAAAGTCAAAGGAATTCCGTTGGAATGTGAGCTTGAGTATAAGACGGAAATGGGAGGATGAGACTCAGTAAACTTCAGCCCCATGTAATTGAGTCATTCCCTCATTGAGGCCTGTAGTGGAACCTCCTGAATAATACAGACTTGAGATCGCTCCTATGGCAGCAGTCTCAAACTTTAGTGTACTTCATAATCTCTAGGGAACCTGGAAAAAAGTCCTTTTGCTCAGAGATTCTAAACCATTGACATTAGCTGAGACCCAGGCCTCTGCATTTCTGTAAGGCTGTCATGGTGGTTCTGATGCAGAGCACCAACAGGTGACTCTTTGAGAAGTACTAAGCAATTGGTACTAAGCTTATCGCTTGCAAAATGTAAGCATTTTAAGTCAGTGACCAGTTGTTTTCTGTTGTCCTTTGTTCTTGACTTGCTCTACTTGGCACCTTGTGATGCACATGAATGGGGGCTTAATATATATTAGTATGTGAAAAAATCTTGGGAAATTTTACCTGTAAACTGTTAGCACTTCAAGGAAAGGGTCAGCATAAATTATTTCTCATATTACTCTCTAGTAGAAGATGTTGGCTATATTTTTTTCCCTCCTATTTCCTCCAGCTTCTTGAATCAAAGTTATCCATTTTCTTTGTAATAGAATGCTCAGTAAAGGAAGTTAAGTGCATCAGTCCTATAGCTGTGTTTTCTGCAAAATTCAATAATGCTGATCTCTTTAATTTCAGGTCTCTTAGGGGCACAGAATAAAGAATCAGATTTATAAGGCTAGAAGAATTCATCAAATGCCGCATAATATGTTCCTTGCCTTTGGCAAGATCACATCTTAGTCTACTGCAGTTGAATTTCCAAGGGCACCAGTGGTACGTGCACCTACACTGGGGGGGATCCCACCTGCACACATGTTCCCTCATCTCTGCATCCTAGATTACAAAGGTCATTTCTCTGTGCATTGGCTATTTATTGTAGAGGATTGTTTAAGGCAAGAAGAGGCACCAGGTCTTCCAACTAACATCTGGAGACTGACGTGGTTGGCAGACGGGGTCATCATGAACAGTGACAGGATCATTGGGAGGAAGGAACTTCAGCACCTGTGCTTTAAGTAGAAAAACTGAGACCCAAAGTGTGGAATTAGAAGCTGCAACAGGAATATTCTGTGCTTGGGAAATGCTGTTGTACTGTCAGGGGTGATCTGTGACCATGTTCCCTCCCGCATCTCCATCTCCACAAAACCAAACCAATAGGAGTAATAAGGGATTCCAATAGCAAGGGTTAATGATATTCAGGTATCATCTTTGAGTTTCGTATTAGCAAAGAATTCTTTTGAATTGTCTTGCTTAAGCTAAAATTTTCCATATTACTTTCTTAGAGAGGTGTTAGTAAGAACAGTGTGCAAAGCAGGACAGGAGTGGGAACAAGAAAAAGGCCAGGAGTAATCTGAATGAACAACTTCTACAAAATTGGAATGAGAACAGTTTTAGGTTAGGATGTACTTGCCTTTCACTCTCCCCAGGCACACCTGTGCAATCACTGGTATGGTGCTCTGTACACAGGACGTGCTCAATAAGTGCTCATAACCTGTTCATTTCAATTCAGTGTATCAGTGAAATAAGAGTCTTTTGACTTGGATTCTTTCAGTTGTGAGGTCAGAATCATGGGAGTTTTCAATGTATCTGTAAGAGTTGGAGAGGACTTAAGACTAAAGATGATATAAGGTCCATCACCTCCTTGGGGAGTAGAATGAGATCCCAGGCTGTCGCTGTGCGTTGTTGAGTGGCTTGTATTACTTCACAGAAATAACCTGTATCGTAGAGCAGGGAAACTTTCCCCATTACGGCCCTCTGGGCATTGGGACCAATCTCTTTGGAGATGTAGGAACGAGTGGGTCTTGAGACTTTTGGTTGACATGGGCATTGCATTTGCCTCTAGGTGGGTGGGTTTGAGACAGGCAAGCTAATTGCTTGGAATTTGCTTAAGTGGAACTGATGCCACAGCACCATGTCTCAGTGGGCGATTGGACTCAGAGTGTGGCCAAACTGGTATTTAGGACCAGTTCACCAGCCTCACTCTCTGTGTGTCCACCCTGGGCTAACAGCACCAAGGACTTGGAGAAAATGTTGCACTGACAGAAAGTAAAATCACCCCAGGCTTTCTTTAGTGTCCTGTTTGTGTCTTACAATAAATGTTTATTATTTTGGTGAAAAGAATTTTTCTTGTTTGTAATATTCCATCTTCTGGGAAGAAAATATTGAGATAAGAGGGCATTTATCATTCTAGAGTTTATTGGCTTGTACTGTTTATTTATTCTTGAAAGGAAAACAGTCCCCACATCAGGAAGTGGTAACATGACAGAGCCAAGTCTACAGATGTACGGTGGAGAAAACTTGAGGTGACAAAGACTCAGGCTCTTTTAGTGGTGTCATTTTTCAGAAAATTATCTGCCTTCATGTTGATAGCACAGATACTCTGCTCCCTCCCTGATCTAGCTCATGGCTACCTCCTTGCCAGGCTATGAGACCCTGGGAAAGTCATCTCAGTGTCGAGCCTTAGTTTCTCCATTTGCAAAATGAGGGATTGGAGATGTGACCCTAGATGTGTTTTTCATCTTTAATGGCTGCAATTATTATCTTTTAAAAAATTTGAGGCTTTTTTGTATATTATGTTAGAAAAGTGAAAATCCCACAGAACCCAGGAATCTGAAAAGTATAAACTAGACTTTGTCAGCGTTCTTAGTACTGTGGGTGAGCTGATGAGAAGAATGTTGGGTGTTGGGATGGACACTTCTTTCCTACAGGTATGGAAAGGGCAGTGATCTCATCTAGAAGGGCTGGTTCTCACTACCATGAACCTCTAGGAGGCAGTGCCCAGGACGTCGGGGTTCTGCTCTTGAATGGGTGTAGAGAGAAACAAGATTACATCCCATTTGTGCTTCACTACTGGACTCTCCATCTCCTTCCAATGTACTGCCATCCTCTGTGTTACCCCTTTCCTTCTCTCCCTCTCTTGCTTCTGTGGAAGAGGTTTTGTATCTCTGATTACCTTTTCTTCTTTCTCCATTTCATCCCTTTCCTCTGTTTCCCTCTTTTTGTTTTTCTCTTATTCTTTAGACATATATTATAGCCCTTATTTTACTTTTTTTAGCTTATTATTTTTTTATTGAAGTATAGTTGATTTATAATGTTAGTTTCAGGTGTACAAGATAGTGATTCACTATTTTTAGAGATTATACACTAAAGTTATTATCAAATAATGGCTGGATTTCTCTGTGCTGTACAATATATCCTTGTATCTTATTTATTTTATACATAGTAGTTTGTGTCTCTTAATCCCAAACCCCTATTTTGCCCCTCCCCTGTTCCCTTTCCCCACTGGTAACCACTAGTTTGTTCTTTACATCTGTAAGTCTGTTTCTGTTTTATAATATAAATTTGTTTTATTTTTTAGATTCCACATATAAGTGATAACATAGAGTATCTTTCTCTGACTTACATCACTAAGTATAATACTATCTAGGACCATCCACATTGCTACAAATGGCAGAACTTCATTCTTTTCATGGCTGAGTAATATTCTATTGCATATATATACATATATATGTATATATATGTGTGTATGTATATATATATATGTATACATACCACATTTTTTTATCTATTCATCTCTTTTTTTTTTTTTTTTTTTTGCAGTACGCGGGCCTCTCACTGTTGTGGCCTCTCCCGTTGCGGAGCACAGGCTCCGGACACGCAGGCTCAGCGGCCATGGCTCACGGGCCCAGCCGCTCCACGGCATGTGGGATCTTCCCGGACCGGGGCACGAACTTGTGTCCCCTGCATCAGCAGGCAGACTCTCAACCACTGCGCCACCAGAGAAGCCCCTATCCATCTCTTGATGGACACTTAGGTTGCCTCAGTATCTTGGCTGTTGTAAATTATACTGCTGTGAACATTGGGGTGCATGTATCTTTTCAAATTAGTGTTTTTGTTTTCTTTGTATACATATATACCCAGGAGTGGAATATGGTAGTTCTATTTTAATTTTTTGAGAGACCTCCATCCTGTTTTCCATAGTGGCTGCACCAAGTTATATTCCCATCAGTAGTGTAGGAGGGCTCCCTTTTCTCTGCATCCTCACCAACATTTGTTACTTGTGGTCTTTTTGATGATAGCCATTCTGATAGGTGTGAGGTAATATCCCATTGTTTTTTTTTTTTGGCCATGTCCCGCAGCTTGTGGGCTTTTAGTTCCCTGACCAGGGATTGAACCTGAGCCCTCGACAGTGAGAATGTGGAGTCCTAACCACTGGACTACCAGGGAATTCCCTCTCATTGTGGTTTTGATTTTCATTTCTCTGATGATCAGTGTTGTTGAGCATCTTTTCATGTACCTGTTAGCCATCTATATGTCTTCTTTGGAAAAATGTCTATTCAGATATTTTGCCCATTTTTTAATCTTTTTTTTTTTGATATTAAGTTGAATGAGGTGTTTATATATTTTGGATACTAAACCCTTGTTTGTCATTTGCAAATATCCATTTGCAAATATTTTCTCCCATTTGGTAAGTTGTCTTTTTGTTTTGTTGATGGTTTCCTTTGCTGTGCCAAAGCTTTACAGTGTAATTAGGCCCCATTTATTTATTTTTGCTCTTATTTCTTTTGCTTTAGGAGACGGATCCAAAAACATTGCTATGATTTATGTCAAAAAGTGTTCTGCTTATGTTCTCTTCTAGGAGTTTTATGGTTTCAGGTCTTACATCTAGGTCTTCAATCATTTTGAGTTTATTTTTGTATATGGTGTCAGGAAATGTTCTGATCTCATTTTTTGTTTTTTAACATAAAGCTGTTCAGTTTTCCCAGCAGCACTTACTGAAGAGATTGTCTTTTCTTTATTGTATATTCTTGCCTCTTTTGTTGTAGATTAATTGACCATAAGTGTGTGGGTTTATTTTTGGGCTCCTTATCTTACTTATTAAAGTTTCTTTGCTTTTGTTTTTTTTAATTCTTCTTAATTCTTAATGAAAAGAATTAAGAATTAAATAAAGATGGAGTTAAATTGATTTTCATGTATATGGCCCCTCGTTTACATTTTTCCTGCATGAAGGTGATTTGCAAAGCCAAAACCAAACAAAGCTATCAAAGCCCAAAAACTAGCAACAAAAAAAGCTTCTTGAATTTACTGTTAAGAAAAGGTATAAGTGAACAGTATGGTGTTGGTGTAATACCCAGGACTGGGGAATGTAAATTGTCTCACCACTTGTAGGTTTTTGGAGGCAGGTAACACTCTGAGTTAGAAAGTTTTTCTTCATTTTCCAGAGGATCATGAGGTCGGGGTTGGGTTTTCAGAACAAGGGTCTAAGGCTTTGTAGAACATTTGAGAAAACTGAAAGTGGGGATTGTGGTGAGGGGATGTTCAAGTAGGCAGACATCCAGCTTCCCCTATCCTGTCCATACTCTTACTTTTTAGAAAAACTTTAAAAGTTTAAAAAATTTTATTGAGATGTAACATTATATTAGTTTCAGGTGTACAACATAATGATTTGATATTTGTATATATTGCAAAATGGTCACCACAATGTCTGGTTAACATCCATTGCCACATATAGTTAAAAAAATTTTTTTCTTGTGATGAGAACTTTTAAGATTTACTTTCTTGGCAACTTCTAAATATACAATATAGTATTATTAACTATAGTCATTATAATGTACATTACATTTCCATGACATTTATTTGATAACTGGAAGTTTGTACCTTTTGACCCTCTTCAACCATTTTGCCCACCCCCCCCCACCCCTTGCCTCTGGCAACCACCAATCTGTTTCTGTATCTGTGAGCTCAGTTTTGTTTCTTGTTTTTGTTTTCTTTTAGATTCTACATATAGCGAGATCATATGGTATTTGTCTTTCTCTGACTTATTTCACTTAGTACAATACCCTCAAGTCCATCCATGTTGTCACAAATATATATCTCCACTTAGTTTGCGTCCATATCTTGGCTATTGTAATGAATGCTGCAATGATTATGGGGATGCATATATCTTTTTTTTTTTTTTTGCAGTACACGGGCCTCTCACCGTCACGGCCCCTCCCGCTGCGGAGCACAGGGTCGATGTGCAGGCTCAGCGGCCACGGCTCACAGGCCCAGCTGCTCCGCGGCATGTGGGATCCTCCCAGATCGGGACACGAACCCGTGTCCCCTGCATGGGCAGGCAGACTTGCAACCACTGCGCCACCAGGGAAGCCCGCATATATCTTTTTAAGTTAGTGTTTTTGTTTTCTTCGGGTCAATACTCAGAAGTGGAATTGCTGGATATTATGGTAGTTCTGTTTTTAATTTTCCATAGTGGCTGCACCAATTTACATTCCCATGAACAGTGCACAAGTATTACCTTTTCTCAGCATCCTTGTAAACAACTGTTATTTCTGTTACTTGTAGTCTTTTTGTTAATAGTCATTCTGACAGGTGTCAGGTGATATCTCATTGTGGCTTTGATTTGCATTTCCCTGATGACTAGTAATGTTGAGCATCTTTTCATGTATCTGTTGGCCATCTGTATGTCTTATCTGGAAAAATGTTGACTTAGATCCTTTGCTCATATTTTATTTGGATTGTGTGTTTGTTTGTTTTGGTTACTGAATTGTATGAGTTATTTATATATTGTGGATATTAACACCTTATCAGATATATGATTTGCAAATATTTCTCCCATTCAGTAGTTTGCCCTTTTATTTTGTTGATGGTTTCCTTTGCTGTGCAGAAGCTTTTTAGTTTGATGTAGTCCCATTTGTTATTTTTGCTTTTGTTTCCGTTGTCTGAGGAGACATATCCAAAAAAATATTGCTAAGATCAGTGTCAAAGAGCATACTGCCTATGTTTTCTTCTAGGAGTTTTATGGTTTTGGGCCTTACATTTAAGTCTTTAATCCATTTTGAGTTTATTTTTGTATATAGTATGAGAAAGTAATCTAGTTTAATTCTTTTGCATCTAGCTGTCCTGTTTTCTCAATACCATTTATAGAAGAAATGGTTGTTTCCCCATTGTATATTCTTGCCTCCTTTGTCTTAGAGTAATTGACCATGTAAATGTGGGTTAATTTCTGGGCTCTCTATTCTGTTCCATTGATCTATGTGTCTGTGTTTATACCAGTACATACTCTTTTGATTACTATAGCTTTGTAATATAATTTGAAATCTGGATTATATCTGTGATGCTTCTTGCTTTGTTCTTTCCCAGGATTCTTTTGGCTGTTGAGGTCTTCTGTGGTTCCCTACCAATTTTAGATTTATTTCTGTGAAAATGCCATTGGAATTTTAATAGGGATTGCATTGCATTTGTAGATTGCTTTCCATACTCTTTGCTTTTAACCAGGAAACTCCCTGTCTGGCCTTTTTTTTAGCATATTGGTCTTTGCATGAGGTTGCAGTTGATGAAACAGCTCCTTTGTTGGTCTCATGCAACCTCTTCATTTTACAGATGCGGGAATATCCTTTTTGAAAAAAGATTACATTAAGGCATTTGTCCCTGTCATGGTAAATAATAATAACATCATCAATACCACAACAGTAAAAGTATATTATTCATTTCTACGTAGGGACTGTGGGCCAACTGATTATACTGGGGTCATTGTGTTCTGTTCTATGTATACAGTATTAAAAAATGCCTGGGAACCTAGCGAGTTAGAGGAGGGCAGCCAGGATGAAAGGAGGCTTAAAATCAAGTCACATGAGTTGAAGGGGAAGGTGATGTTTTAATGTGAAACATACAAATCCAAGGCAGGAATAAGAATGTGGTTTTTATAGCCACAGGGCAGATGTATGAAAGGAAGATAACATCTTGGTGTCTGTGGGGGCAGAAGCAGGGCTAGAGGATGGAAGCCTCTGGAAACAGATCTGGGCTTAGTCATCCAAAGGCATGGCTAGTGATTGGAGCTGTTTTACCATAGTACAGTTTGTCTGGTGTGGTCGGCAGTACTGAGTAGCTTGTTTGCTGGAACAAGTTACAGCAAGGGGAATACAGAGCATCAGCTTAGGGGAATTTCAGCATCAGCTTAGTGGTTGCATCTGATGACCACTAGGGTCTTTGGGCTCTAAAATTCCAAGAGATAGTGGATTGAGGAATCATATTTTGCTTAGTTCAAAACTGACTGCACAATTCAGATTATAACTTTAAACCTAAGCAGCTTTATGAGGCAGTGGCTTCAAAGATTCATTTGTGCCACATAATTCATATTGCCCATTCTGAGATAAAAGGGTTGCAAAGACATTCAGTACACTCAAAAAACCTAATTCAGTTTTAGTACGTGAAGAGGCTCTCATGAACTACAGTTTGGTGATGTAAATGAAAATAAATTAAGAGCATGTGTATTGACGTGTTTTTTTTTTTAATACTCATCTTTTTTTTTGTTTTTTTTTTTCCGGTACGCGGGTGTCTCACTGTTATGGCCTCTCCCGTTGTGGAGCACAGGCTCCGGACGCGCAGGCTCAACGGCCATGGCTCACGGGCCCAGCCGCTCCGCGGCATGTGGGATCCTCCTGGACCGGGGCACGAACCCGTGTCCCGTGCATCAGCAGGCAGACTCTCAACCACTGTGCCACCAGGGAAGCCCAATACTCATCTTTTAAATGGTAATTATTAAGAATAAGGACACCCTAATATAAAATTTAATATATTTATTCAAGATTACAATGTGGAGCAAATCTATGATATTAAACATTCTAAAAATTGAAGTAAATTTAAGAGAGATTGCATTTTCCACACTTACCTTTAATCATCTCTGAAATCCCTCCCAGTTACCAACAAAATACTAATTTATTAGGGCCTTTTCTCTTAATTTCCTTTAGGGATTCCTAAGTAGTGCATAAAGTGACCTTCTTTCTTTTCCTTCTGTCCCACAGGAATTTCTCAATTAGAAATGGAGATAACAGTTTTAAGGGACATTCCAGTATAGCTGGAACAGCTTGACTGCTTTCAGATTGAATACACACTGACTTGAGTAACTTCAGATCTCTTTATGTAGCATTAAAAAACAAGTTCGGGCTTCCCTGGTGGCTCAGTGGTTCCTCCTCCTCCTACTAGGAATTCCTCCTACTAGTTTTAGCAGAAAGTAAAGGAGAATACTTGAAGTTATGGAGGCTATTCAAATACTTTACCTTCAAAATAGGTAGTCAGGAGGGAGTTGGCTGCTGGCGTAGATTCAGAGGCTCAGTGATGTCAGAGTGGCAGCTCTGTGATTCTCTTTCCCATATATTTGTCCCCTCATAATTACATAACGGATGCTGTAGTTCCAAACATCTAGTCCTTGTTCAAGGAGGAAGGGATAG